TGTAAATCCCTCAGCAGGTCAATACATTATTTCCTCTGTCACATATAGGATTTACTGCTCCCGTCAGTGCACTGTCCTGGTATATTGTTGCACAAGCGGCTGGGGTTCGGGGAGGACTTTGGTAGCGGGAGAACAAAAGCCTCGCACACATGACATCAGGGCGAGCGCACAGGCGCAGCCTCTCTGAGCCTCGGGGCAAACGAGTGCAGCTCGTCTCCCTCTTTGCATCACCCAGCAGCAAATTGAGCATGGAGTGGAAATGAGGACAGCGTTGAGGGAATCTAGGCATATTGACTTCTCTGCTGTGTAGGCTGGAAACTGGGAGCTCTTGCGGAAACCTGTAAAATGGGAATGCGTTGGAGGATGCCGAGAAAGACCCTATGCTGAGGACCAAAAGTTTCACGCTGCTGCTAAAAGAAAAAAAGGTGCAGGCATACAAAAGGAAGCAACACCGGTGCTGCTCTGCACAGAATGGCATCTGTTTCCTCTGACAGCCTGCGACTGGATTCACAAGCCTTGCGGGGCGATTGTGGGTGGTGGTGGATGGAAAAACAGCAATGCACAAGGGAGAAGCATGAGGAAAATAAGACTGGAGACAAAGACGATCACTTTTCAAACCATGTTACCACTGGGGAAAGGAGACACCTTCCCATAACCGAGTGCTTGTAATTTGGGACAGATGATATACTTTCCGTGAGCTGAGATGTGCCCAAATGGTCAGCTCTTGAGGGCTTAATGATACAAATGGTGAAAAGTGCAAGAAGGTGTCCTTATCCTCATGAAACAAGTCCAATTCGCTTTGCAGAATTGTTTTCATCAAAGGTCCAGGCCCACAGCTTCCGAGTTTGCTGCCGCTTACAAACACAGCCATGAAATGCAGAACTCAGACCAAGCAACCTTCTAATCCCCATCCTGTCTCCTCAGGTTGTCAGTAGAAAGAAGCTAGCAGTCACCAATGCACCTAACCTCTACAATTTTATTGAAAACATTAAATATGCTTTAAATATTTTTCACCTTTGCCATACCTGTGGCAATAAATGCCACAATTTGAATAAACATTTCATTACTTACCTCAGGTTTTGATCTATGCTTCTGAAGTTGCACACTGCTTCCCCAGGCATTGGGACCAGAAGTCTGTGCTGGAGCTGCCCTGTTTTACTGGAATAGTGAATAAAGCCTTTCTCAGACATGTTTTGGTACAGTCCATTAAAATATATAAATGTAAATGAAGAGGCCCATATTCAGAATCTACAATAGCAACAAATGTTAATTGCACAATAATAGCTGTCAAAAACAATATTCAATGTGATCACGTCTTGTGCTTGCCTCAGGGCATACCACAATCATAATTAATAATGCTATTTAATAACAATAATAGGGCAAGTACACCTTATAAATTCATGGGCAAGGTTAATAAATGGGATCTGATCATTAGGTAGGTACAGCTGAACAATTTATGAAGCATTTTAAGAGCTTCCCTAGAAGTGGTGAATCAGGGCTGATCTGCTTGGCTCCTTTAATGAGCAACAGGAACGAAAAGTAAACAAACAGAGATGCAAAACAGCCTTGTCTCCTTTTTATCATGCCCTTCCCCTAATTTTTTTTTATACCAGAATTAAAATGCCTTTGTGGCAAGGACTTTGAAAGAGACTCTGTATGATACAGAGCCTAGCTTGTTTGGGGACTGAACATTATTATTATTTTTTTATTGTCTGCGGAATTCTCCACCTTAGTAATCCATGTACAAAAGGCTACTTTCCTGTCTAGAATCATAGAAGAGTTTGTGTTCAAAGGGACATTTAAAGGCCATCTAGTCCAACTCCCCCTGCCATGAGCAGGGACATCTTCAACTAGATCAGGTTGCTCAGAGCCCCGTCCAACCTGATCTGGAATGTTTCCAGGAATGGGGCATCTACCACCTCTCTGGGCAACCTTGGCCAGGGTTTCACCACCCTCACTGGGAAAAATTTCTTCCTTATGTCTAGTCTAAATCTGCCCTCTCTTAGTTTAAAACCATGACCCCTTGTCCTATCACAACCTCCCAATCTTACTTATAAGCCCCTTTTTAAGTACTGGAAGGCTGCAATAAGGTCTCCCCGGAGCCTTCTCTTCTCCAGGCTGAACAACCCCAACTCTCTCAGCCTGTCCTCATAGGAGAGGTGTTCCATCCCTCTGGTCATTTTTGTGGCCTCCTCTGGACCCTCTCCAACAGGTCCATGTATCCTCTCTGTTCCTGACTTGACAGGTTTACAGTCTAGGCAATTCAGTGTAAAAGAAGTAAGGAACAATGATCATGGTAACGATTTGTCTTGTAAAAGGTAAAGCCTTTGGTGTTTCTGCTCATTCTGACATGCTCTCCAGCTTGCACAGTCCTACCATGACCTGTAAATGGCATTTTTCTAAACAGAAAATCTCTGCTGTCTTCTTCAGCAGGTATGAACAAGCCAGGAATTACTATCAGTATCACAGAATCACAGAATCACAGAATCACTAGGTTGGAAAGAACCTTCAAGATCATCAAGTCCAACCATTAATCCAGCACCACCATGTCCCCTAAACCATGTCCTGAAGTGCCACATCCACACGTTTTTTGAATACTTCCAGTGATGGTGACTCCACCACCTCCCTGGGCAGCCTGTTCCAATGCCTGACCCCTCTCTCGATGAAGAATTTTTTCCTAATATCCAATCTAAACCTCCCCTGGCGCAACTTGAGGCCATGATTATGATCATGTTACTGTAACTTAATATACTGTTGAGCATTTGAACTGTGGTAAGTAGCATGGCTGCAAGGTCTTCGTACTTACTACAAAGTTAAACGCATTAGTTTAAAACCGTCTTTGAGGTGAGATGGGCTAACGGCAGGCACATGGGCACCTACGAGGCTTCAGCTGTCAAGGAGTACCTTGCCAAACGAAGTAACTCATCTGCTTTTGACGGCATGCACTTAATCCACGAGGGAAGAGGGTTAAGCGAAGGGCACTGCCGGACAAGCTTTGGCTGAGCTTCAGGTGCAGCGACTGAAGATGACGTGGTGCTACTGCCCCCGCAGCAGAAACAGCAGAAGGAAAGACACCTTACGCACTTCACTGCTACGTCAGCCAGTGCCTGTAAAGTGATTCACACTTAGATACCAGGGCAAAGGGACAGAACTAAAAGGTGAAGGTAGGTTGTTGGGGTTTTTTACTTAGTGCAGCAAGATAAGCCTGTCAGTGTCCATATAATTATATTATCCTGTATTTGGAATAAGTCAAAGACACATAAATGCATATAGATACAGGTATCATACATACTGCTAGCTACTGTGCAGTAACATGCTTGGCAGCATTAAGCTGACGAGTGTGAGTGTTGCCTCTGTTGGAACCTGAACCTCCAGTCTGAATCCAGTTGTTAACATCACCACAATGAAGTTACAAAAGAAACCAAGAATGATGAAAGCAACAGTCAGTTTTTTAAAAGGTAACTGAAAATGTAAGAATTTTTATTGTAAAGGATTGCAGTGCTACAGCAGAAGAGGAATAATATTTCTGAAGAAGACGTAGGAGAGTTGGAAGAAGTATTTTTTTTGGTAGATGGTTACAGTCAGAGGGTAACATACTCAGAACCAGGCTCTTCTCCAAGAAGTATCATTCACAGATAAAAGAAAGTTTTTTAAAAAGTCTGTTCTCCTAGAGGACAAGAAAAGTTCTAATTTGGTCAGCTCTGAATCACAGCCCAACAAAATGAAAAATAGATTACTCTTCAAGCACAGGTACTAGAATAACTTGGCAGATGATTATATAGGAAAAAGTAGCAGTGTATGCTGTACAGTGTTTTGCAAAATGCATGGTTTGAAAACCCATATATCCAGTGCAGCCAGGGATGGAAGTGCAGTGTGAGTGAGCACTGACCTCTAGTGGATATAAAAGTCTAGAATTGGGAAAGATCATCGAATTCAAAATAGAAAATACATCATGCAGACAGTTGTCCCAAGGCTTGTGCTTGGCAAGTCTGCAAGCTGCAGTCAGCATAGTTTTAGTATTAGGAATCTTTCACTGTCTATGTGTCAGGAACTATCATGTCTATTGTAACATCTAGAGGCCAAATTTTATGGCCAAAAGAAAGCAGTGCACACTTAGAATTTGCTTAGTAAGACAGATAAGTCAACTATTGGTCAGTAAAATTAACTGAGGCTAAATTTACTCCCATTTTTAGATATTTATTGAATAACTTGGCACTGTTGAGACCATCTCAATGGACATTAGCAGAGCACCAATAGTTTAAAAAAAAATCCTAAGGAAACATGAACATACATGCCATATCATATTAAGAGTCTTAGTTCTACTTTTTCTACAGTCAAAAAATACAGAATGGCGAGGGTTCATATATTTCCAATGTCTGCCCCAAAGAAGCTTGCTTTGTTCTCACTTTCAAGTTATTTTCCATAGGAAAACACCTGTAAGTGTTTTGAAGCTCTTCTGTAAACTAATCAAAAGAAGAAAAACAATCCCAGGCACATAATTCCATAAGGCTAACATTCAGCTGAAACTACGAAAATTGGGTGTTCTCAAACAGTTAATGTGCAATACGGGCTTCCCTTCCTATATCAGTAATGTCATACTGAACTTCATTCAGAAGTCTCACCCAGAAGCTAATGAAGACTGTTTTTTTGTGCTTTCAACACCTTAAGACAGTGAGGTTTCTGGGAAATATTTGGTCAAGAAGGTTCCAAAAAATTGGAGCTTGCATCTGGTCTTGCAGAAGGGCTTTGCCACCGGTGTGGGTTGTCCTTGTTTTCTTTGCACCCTGCCTCACACAAGAATTATTGGCCCCACACCCTGGACATTTATTTTTGCCTCAGAATGGCAGGGAAGGGAAGAAGCAGGAGAATCACATGACCTGTGTATTACCTATTGCAAGTCTGTGAAAGCAAGGAGGAAGAACCTGTATGAGGAGATCAGGGTGCCAGACAACACACCAGACTTACTGTCTAAATACTATTTGAAAGTAAGAGATACTATCTCAGTCTTTGATTGATATGAAGCCAATCTGTGTCCCGAAGTTGGTGCCATCACGAAAGTGAGAGTAAAATTTATCAGGGTGGCATGCAGTACAGAAAGTGATATTTTGGTTCTGGTCTGTGATGGAATCATCTTGGATGTTCTCAGGAAGAATCCCACCACTCTCAAGAAGAATCCTGAAAGAAAGAGAAACAGAAAACATATTTTTGTTTTTTACATCTTTGCATTCCCTAAGAGACTGGCATTCAGATGGCACCTCTAGTACAAATTGAACAAACTGTGCCAATATCACGGCTGGGACTTGTATTTGCTTTTCTTACTTTCTTTTTTCAAATATTAGAATAAAATAATTGCTTTGATGCAACCAGTAAAATGACATTTAATTTGAACATTTGTCTATAATCCATAAACTGAAAGTAGAAGAGTAAAATAATAGCTGAAATACAGCAAAAGTGAGCAGATACTATTCATTCAGAGGTATCATTTGTTGATCTGCAAAGTACTAGTGAGTACTTTAAGATGGTGAGGACCCTCACCAAAATACCGCTGGATAATACAACATCAATATAATTATTGATAACCAATGTGGAATTAGTCTTCTGTTCTTTCATCTTCATCTCTAGTTATAGAATCACAGAATCCTTAAGGTTGGAAAAGACCTTCAAGACCATCAAGTTCAACCGTTAATCCAATGCCACCATGCCCACTAAACCATGTCCTGAAGCACAACGTCTACACGTTTTTTGAACACTTCCAGTGATGGTGATGCCACCACCTCCCTGGGCAGCCTGTTCCAATGCTTGACCACTCTCTTGGTGAAGGAATTTTTCCTAATATCCAATCTAAACCTCCCCTAAGTCTACTCGGCACAAAAAAAGTGTATGTCATGGAAATGCACTCGGTAGGCTTACCGTGTTGCTCTTCTAATATCAACATAAGGATTTGCAGAATCAAATAGTCTCACACATTTTGGATCAATTCTGTGAAATTCTTTAGCTGATTCATGAGGAAGTTTATAGCAGCAAGGTCCTACAGATGGGCCCAGCACCACAAGGATATCTTTCACATTACAGCCATATTCAGATACCATAGCATTTACTGTGGCCATTGAAACTCCTAACAATGTGCCTTTCCATCCTGTGAGAAATGAGAGGTTGGAGAAAAAAAAATGTATAAAACGTCTCTTTAATTTTAGAGTAGCTATTATTAAAGGTATAAACAGATACATTTATATCTAAAAAGAAATCATTATTTCTAATAATAAATAATTGCTTTTTTTAAAAAAACCCAACACATTAACAATTGTCAGTTTGCTGATATCATCATTTTGTGGAGGTGGAAACTAGAGAGAAGAGTTTAGATTAGGATTCCGGAGTTCCTTTTTCCCAGTGTCCTGGTTTGGGCAACTAGAGCATACCTTACAGCTCCTCTGTGCTTGAAACATTTAAATGGGAATATGACAACAGAAATATGTTACAGTAAGAAGTGTATTTTTATAATATGGTGAAAATGTTTTTAGTGTTATCTTAGGGAAAAAAAAAAGAGGCTCAAGCTAGACACATTGTTTGGTATAGATAGAAGAAAGCCAAGCTTTGCACTTTGGCATTGTTTGGAATAGATAGAAGAAAGGCCAGCTTTGAGTTCTCCTATCTCAGTTTGAGTCTCAGGAAGTCTTTGCATCGCACAGCAAGTGCGTCATAACGAAGCATAGGATATGCTATTAACTTTTCCTCTGCTTTTCTACATCCAAAGACTGAGATGACCTTATACCTAAATGTCTTTATTTGTATACATAGCAACATGTGTTCAAGTTAAACATGAACTGAGGTGGGGTTAGACAGGAAGGAAGGGATTTAGGAAAAGATAATTGGAAGCCTTGCAAGGACTCTGATGTGGGAATGAAGGCCAAAACTTGGGAGATGGAAGGCAGGAATTCAGGCTAGAGCCAGGTGGTATGCTTGGAGAAGGCAGCGGCGTGCGTTGGGGGAACAGTGTGGTGTGTCAGGGACTAGATAAATGAAGAGGCGGCAGAGAAAGGAGCAACTACAAATTTAAATATTTTACAGTAATTTGAACACTTACAATGTAAAACTCTTAAAACTTTCAAGATAAAATTCTCTCCATCCCTTCTCCCCATTAAAAACCAGACAGACATGCCACAATTCTCATTCCTCTCCTCTAACCTAAGCTTGCTAGGCACAGGGCAGGGGGCGGGGAGTGGGGCACAACAACTTTATTGAAGGACAGTCAAAGTTTTTATCATCTTATGATGACTCACAAATTTGAATTTCTTTTGGCTGATTTATTAAATGTATGAAGAATTGTATGAATTAGGGTAGTATTCACGAGTTCTAGGCAGACGTGAAGCTTCCTACTATATCAAGGGGTGTACTAGCATCACAGCTGAGGAGAAATTCTCAGCTGTGCATTCTCCCTGATCTCATAAATACAGACTTTTTTATAAAATGGAGCAGCCCCAGCAGGAAAATCTCACCACAGGGTATGTATTCTAGCCTAACAGTTGGGACACCTTCTGAAGTCAGACATAACCCCAGGTTGCACTAACCATCCCTGCTTCAGTCTTATTCTGATTTCGTTTGGGTCAGACAAATATTTCTTCTGATCCAAAATGACTGCTCAGGACATTGGCTTTATAGCCAGTTTTTACATATGAAGTTAGACAGGGCACAAAAGCGTTATTGGGTTTTGGCTACCAGATCAGAAAAATAAATTTATATATGGGTAAATAATAATTGTTACAGTTATAAAATAAAATAAAACAAAAAACATACCTTGGGAAACAAACTATTCTGAAGACTAATCTTGTTTTGGCAGGATACAAACTTAACAGGTCAGGATCTATATTGTTATGTGATCTTGCATTTATTCATTCTCACTCAGTCCTCCTTAGGTTGCTAATTTATAATTCTTAGTCCAAAACTCCCCTTCTAGTGGTCTCCTAGTTATTTTGATATCTATGATTTAAAATTCCTACCAGAATGAGCAGCACCGCAGGCTTTTCTGACAGGATCAGCAAACAGCACGGGTATGCAGTCAGCCCCTGGAGCCGCTATTGTAATACCTTTCTGATTCGTAACTATTCCATCATAGCTGTCAGGCTCTGTCTTTCCCATAATACACACAGCATTAGCGTGATCAATCTGTCAAGACAAAACCAGAACACGGACAGCAATATGGCATCAAAAAACCCAGTTCTGACTAATGCAAGGATTTTTCTTTGGCATGAAACACTCTTCTGCACCAACTGCTTATGCATGGAAATAAGGCACTCCCGTGTTCCAATGCCATGCAGATGTATCAGTAGAAAGCCACCATAGAAGTGGTGGTGTATTTTTCTTTTAAGAGGAACTGCTGTGATCATTTATCTGAATATTCTGCTCTGTGGTAAGTTAAACGTTAGAATATTCTTGGAAGAAACAGTGCTGCTTCTCCATATGGTGCCAAATGGATGATAGTTTGGACAGCTATTCCCACAGATAAAATGCCAGCATAAATGTTTTAATTGTCCTCCTTCTCACAAGTTCTTGCTGAGAAAGGTAAGAATAATGTTTACAGTTTTAGCAGTGATACATGAAGGAAGATCTGATCTATTTACATAAATCCATTGTTCAATAAGATACCTTGACTCTGTGAAAAGTCTCTGGGTCAAATCCTGCAGCATCAGCTAGCCGGCGGAGATTTTCTTTAACAACAACTTGTGGGTCCCTCCGCTTGGAACTGCTGAAGAGGTTGCAGGAGCTTAGATTTGGTATGTAGGAGATCCCACCTGTCCTCGTGGTGAACCCATGGAGGAAGATATCACCTGGCAAAGCAAAAAAGACAACAAACAATTGCTTTAAACACAAGACAAGTCCAAATATTACATTGTTTTATACTGAAGAGACCTGGAATCAGCCAATCAAGTTGAGTATTGCTTTACCTCGAATTTAGCTGTGGCATTTAAATTTAAGGATTCTAAGTTTCCTTCTTGCTTGTAATCATAATCCTCTGATGTCAAGGTAGAGGAGTTTAAGCAAGAAAGAGTCCTAGAAGATTTAGTCTGAATTTTTGCAGAGTTGTAGTGCAAACTCTAGGAAAGAGGTAACTCACTGAGGAAAATGAGAGAGATTTTTAAAGCAGCGTTCTAAGGTGGCATCTCCCAAGCTTTTTTTGGCAAATTAACTACTAGCCCTCAAGACTTCACAGAATCTCAAACATCTTTCTAAGGTACACTCAAAGCACTGAGAATTTCTAGAATTATCAAAAAATCCCCTGTTTTCACCGTGCGGATCCTTTATCATGTCCTCACCCACCAAATGTAATCACTGTTTTGGGAGGCAGTGGAGGGTGAGGTTCTGCGTGGCAAGGTTGAACACAGGAAGACAGTCCCACAACTCGTATTTTTGCTATCTTAACAGTTGAGAAGCTTAGTGACATAATCAGAGTTGATATTCAAAATCTCTTTTATGTAGTGTGATCCTTTCAAAGTCACAGTTCAACAACATGAAACGCAATGAAAGTGAAGATAGCTTTAAGTAACTTGTGTTCCATTCAGGTTCTGGATCATTTCAGACACATTTTTAGAGAAAGACAGTTTCAAATTTTTGCAGTAGCAAACCTCTCAGCTTTCCTCTAAATCCTCTGAATGATGAGACCCCATAACCACACCGTCTGAGAGACATGCTGCAGTAAACTGGGTCATGCCATGGCAAAGGACACGGAGACATCAGTCCGCTTAACCAGGACTGCCTTTCTCTGCGGGGCAGAGAAACTCCTGTCCTGTCTTTCCAGAAGAAGATGGTAACTCACAACGTGTGTAATTCCCACGCAGAGGCAACAAGATTTTACTGTCTGCAGCGATGCTCTCACTAAACTTGGGCTTCTCTTTCCTCTGACCATGCTGCAGGCCTGCTACAGCCTTTGCCAGTCTTTTTCTGCATCTCTGTTGACACTTTCCCCTCTTACAGACATGATACACTATTGCAACATCATATAGAGTTATTTGCTGCCTGAAGACATTTCCAAATCTTACCCATTTTGTAATTCCCTTGAAAAAGCATGCTTGGGAACAGCCTCTGTAAAATCTGTTAGCTGGGATCCTCTTTACCTGGGATCAGGGAAGATCTGAGGATGGTGAGCTCCCCGTTCAGGCTCGGCAGGCTTTCCAAGTACGTCTGAATCTCACTTCGGATGAGCGCCACGTCCTGCGTAGGAAGCCTTTGCTCTTCACTCCAAGGTTCAGCTATCTGTAGGTTTTTACAATCGGTTGCCACCTGTAAATCCTCAAATTCAAACTGGTAGACTGCTGTAAAGAGATGGTCTATATATACTTTCATTAAGTCTTTTCTTAAGGTAGGGAGAATAACTTTAACGATGCTTAGGTCTTTTTCATCCAGTCTTTGTTTGATGGTGTACAAAGCAGCAGCTGTAGTCAGAGCATGTACCACCTCCAGTCTTTTCTTCAGACTCTGAAAATCTCTCAGAGCTGGAAGCAAGAACTCTTGTTCACCGTTCCTTTCAGTCCCCTGCCTCTGGCAACATATGACATAAACAAGTGGAGCAGGGATGGAAGAGCATTTCTCAATGGTTTCCAGAATGTTATGTAGTAATCCTCGGATGTTGTTCTGCAAGTTGGCTGGTAGGCTGAACAAATCTATCAGTACTGCTTCCACCATATTCCAGGATATTTAAAGATCCCTACAACTGCCGAGCAGTCAGTGACAAAACATGAAAAACAAATGAAAAGGCAAGATGGCATCGTTAGTCCAAACGCAGAGAGTTATGTTATTAAGGCAATGCATTCAGTGGTAACTGTGTAGAGAAGGTGGCATAGCAGTAATTACTGTCTTAGGATTTCCTCACTGCATCAAAATAAATTTCAGCAAAACTAGCGGAAATTGAAATTATTATGTATTTATTTAAGTACTTAGGTATTTCCTTACCGCTCCGCCTACCTCAGGTTTTTCCCAGGTCAGGGATGATAAAAGGTTAGCACATAACATTAGATTTACTGAGTCAATTAACCCACGTTAGCCTAATGGATCTTCTTGACTGTTGGACCCTCCTCCAGCTCGCATGAAGGGAACTGGAGGTCCCTCAGCTTGCTGGGACTGGAGGAGTTTCTGTAACAAGTTTTTTGGAGGCATTTTACACACTTGTCACTGAGGTGGAGATAAGTCTGCTACTCCTCCTGGCAAGCTGGGGTGCTGGGCTGTGAGCGCAATGACATCTTTCCCACAGGCCTCCGCAAGACTTTTTGCACTTCTCCGTTTCACCTTACCAAAAGTGTCAACTTGCTAATTTCTGACTTCTGTGTGGAGAAGCACATGGTTGGTATAGTTCTTCCTTTCAACACGCACAGGAACGCAGCACAGATTACTGAAACTTCACCTAGTAACGCAAGAACTAACAGAACTAAATGAAAATAATATAATACGGGGCACAGCTTGCTGCCTCAGTTTTTCCAGTAAGGTAGCTGCACTCTTTGCTCTGAAATCAAGACACATTAAGCTTATCCAGAATCATCCTGAAGCTTGTCTTGTGGCCCATGGTGTAATTCCAGTTTTTATGTAGGGTTTTTTTTCTCCCCCTTTTCTGGACTTTGTTGATCCAAGCACAGCCAGGATGCCTACCTGTGGAAACTTGTCCATCCATCTCCTCCTCTCTCTGTTGCTATGAGAGCCTATTTTACATACCCTCTCAGAAGTGTCTTACTCTTTTTTCTCTGTCTCTGATAATTTTTCAGTTTCCAGTGCAAGTTTCCAGAGGTCTGTAACAGAAGAGTAGATCCCTTTGCTTTGGTAATCTTGAACAGCTATTGACATTACATGACTAAGCACCGTGCTTGATCTAGGAGGAATACATGCAGCTTCATCACCACTTGTAAGACCACATAATCATTTAGAGTATTCCTTAACACCATCATTTTTCTGCACGGTAACAAATTGTGCATGAATATTAATTCCCTTGCAGGAAAATTAATATGTCTGCAGGAACAAGGGACTTGAGAATTTTTAAGTCTTTGAAATCAATGCTCTGCTACCAGAACTAACCGTATCAGATAATGCCTGGAACTATTTTCCTGCCCCAAATCCTCATTCCTCACGTAGCTACATGCATGCTCTGGCTTCGCAGCACTTCATTATCTTGCAAAAATACCGCTTCTGCATGTACTTGAGGCCTACCACTATGGTGGACTTGGTGTCCTCCTTGGTATTTTGTGGTTGACAATGGACTCCCAGAGTTTCTACACTAAAATGAGAGGTCAAAGACCTTTCTGGTTTTAATGGAGTGTTTATTCAGAGTAGGTTTTACAGAAAACATTCTGTATTTTCTTCATTGTTCTTTCCCTCAGACTGGAAAAAAAAATAATCCTGACTGAAAATTATGTTTTCCTTTCTGCGAGTTGAATGCTTACAAAGACTAATTAGTGACTATCAAAACAGGTGAACTAAAAGTATCAGAATGTGGCAGCAGATAAAAGCATCTGCCAAAGAATTTATGACTCTTGATTTTGCTCAGAGCATTATTTGCACACAGCTGATAACAGATTTTAGATAAAACAGCTTGCTAAGAAAACAGTGTCAAAACAGACTCATGTCAAAGACCATGACTTGGGAAATAAGAATATTTCCTTCCCTATCCTGACACTCTCTGTGGGAGGTCTCTAAGAGTATGACATGATCCCAATCTAGGTATAGCTAATAGCCCCAGCAAAGACAGCACAACAGGGGGCTGTAGTGGATAAACAAATTATTGCTCCACTTCAGATGTGTCAGTAGTAGAAGGTAAGTAGATTTCATTGCTGTGCTCATACTTCCCCTGAAAAATACCACCAAAGAAAGGGTGGAAAGAAAGTGTGTGTGAGGGAGAGGTAATTGCCTACATTGTTATTAAGTTGTGTGTGTATTGCAGAAAGTCCACAGGGGCAATTATTGGGATGTACACAAAGAAACAATGGGGCTGATTCACCCTCCTATCTTTCCAGTTTTGCATCAAGGTGTTCTACTGAGATCAGTGGTGTCAGAAGTAAATTTGCTTACAGCCCTAATAAATTTTTTTACTACTTTCTAAGTCCCCCAAACAAAAGTCTTCTCAAAATACAGGCTTGCCAAGCACAGCAATGTTTTAGCGTATGAGAAATGCATTCATGCTTATTCAGGTTTTAAGCAACATGCTCTACAGCCCCAGTGTCCCATGGAAAGTCTCACTGCACGTAACCACATCAGGAAAGATTAGGTGCATTTATTAAGGAGCTGCTCATTTCTGTACAAAATGCAAGACAAATACTTGCACAAACTTGAAGCCAAGGCCACCCATTAGTTGTTTTGCTCACTCTCTGAAATGCTGTCAGTAGAAACATTTGGACGGTAAAAAGATTCTCCTGCACAGATATCAAGACAAAGAGCATCATAGAAAATTACAGATAATGAGAAGACAGGAGAGGTGAGGAGGGTAACAAGAGTGAAAAGGAGAAAGGTAAAGTGAATACAGAAAATAAACAATGAAGGAAATAAAACCAGACTGCAGAGAAGAGACAGCTCAGGGTAGAAAAAAGATCCACAAAGCAACTTTCAAAAACCCCAGAAATCTAATTCTGAAAGCTCACAGTTGGTTAAGACAAGATTGCTGGCAATCGCCTGCACCTTTCAATCCTATTGGTCACCATATCTTCTTACAGAAACTCAGAGAACTGACATTGTTTTGGGAAAATTAAAAAGGCAAGAACTATTTAACGTCTGCCAGAAAGAGATGCCCAGGGAAAGGAAACAGGTCATGAAAGAAGGCCAAATGAACAGGGATAAGAGCTCATTTGTAATAAAATTTCAACAGCAAAGACAAAAAAAAAGGGGGAAAAAAGAAAGACAGAAAGAAAAAAAGAAAATTGGATTAAAATAAACCATTCTTCCTCTCTTAACTTTGGGGTATTTAGGCAAGGTTGAAGAAACAGAAATCAGCACTTACAATGAAAATATTGAAGTACATGCAGTTTTCATAAACAAACTCAAAGTTTAAAATACAGCAGTTTACTTACACAGGTAGACAATCCTTTTAAACTCCTGAAAGATATCATCTGAATAGAAACACACATTACCAGCTTTATATAGCTGTCAGTCTTGCAGCTGATTTGTACAAGATGGAAATTCCTATTCTACGTAAGATTGGAGTGGGAACCTGTATTTCTTCTTTGTGATGAGACCCTGCTTTGTTGCTGTCAGTACCCACAGGAAATAACAAACTGTACTGAAAAGCCCCAACATAATTAAGTGCCTGGGTAGCATTAAACCCGGAAGCAGCATTAACCCTGCCAGGGAACTCGCTGCTGTAATCATACGTGCTAATGCATCAGCTTTGCACAATCTCAAAGAGATTCAGAAACGTACAGCATAGCAAAACAGAACAAGAACACACAGAAGTTAAAGGAAAACTTGTGCAGACTGAAAGACTTCCCTTTTCTGAGCTGTAACTGCATGTTCCAGTGAAGAATTTGGCAGTCAGTCAAGAAAAAGTATATTCAGAAGGACCCAGATAGAGAGGTTATGAGAGGTCAGTCTTCAGGGCCACAGGCCCGAAATGAGGATGGCAATTTCTCCTTGGAGCGGTCAGAAATTTCGCAGAGCTCTGTAAAAAAAGTCAGAATGTTTTGACAGGACAATACAAAGGTCAAAAGCCAAGTGGGGGAATGAGGGATTTGTATCAGGCTTTGTCCAAGAATCATGTGATAATAAATATGTTTTCCCAACTTTGCCAAAACCATAGTCGTGTCAGGTAAGTATATGACAACTTAATAAGGACAAGAAAAAAGTAAAGGTAATTTTTTCATAGAGAGGAATTCATAACATCTGATTTCCTGTGAATTGCTCTCCTATGTCTTGTGTTCCCTCCTTCCCTGCAACTGCAGTAAACCTACATTTCTGCCAGTCCATGACACATCTTGGGAGTCCCCCATCATTTCCCCTGCTTTTCCTCCTTGCATACGCTGGGCAGAGGGATGAGAGCTGAATCCTCCTGGCTCTCCCTCCCAAAGGGAACCGATGCAAGTATCTTGTCTTTGCTCCACCCAGCCACCAATTTTCAAGTTTGCAAAAAATGGTTCTCCCTGAGACTTTCTGCCCCACTGTCAAACATGTCTGAACTAGGTAATTAAAAATTAACAGGGGTACTTAACGGAGAGAGACCAACACAACCATTTTCTTTCCTTCAACCAGACTAAGGAAGAAAATACAATTACTGGGGTTATTTTTGGTGCAGAATGCTGAGAAAGGATAAAGGTCAGAAAATATCCAGGATACAAAACGATACTGAAAAATGACAAATGGCTGTTATGTCCCTGGCTGAAGTATTACATTCAGCTTTCTGCCATTTCAAAAAAGGGATGAAATAAGCAGCTCGTGTGCAGAGATGAGCGATTAAATTATAAAAACCGTGGGATTTAGGGTTAAAAATCCTTAGGCCAGAGTTCAGAGGAATACAAGCGGGTGTGAAACAAGTCTGTGGCTGTAAAACTGGGCAGAGTGTAAAGCAGGAGAAACCAGGCCACGTGTCTTCTTCCTCGCAGCCCAGCGGTGCTCAGCAAAACTTACGTTCTCTGCAGCCTACATCAAACGCTAACAAATTATGACAGAACATGCAGTTTAATACAACGAATTAGGTAACTCAGGAAACTTACAAGCAAAAAAAAAGCCAAGCAAAATTGCCTCAGCCACAGGGTGAGCCAGGCTGTGGCCACACCGCCACGGGCCCCACCGCGAAGCCCCCACCCCATTTCTGACAGGATGAGTTGTCCCCTCCGTTTTTTCTCCCTCTCCTGCCGCGGGCAGCCCCC